GGGGGAGCCTCGGAGAGGGGATGCTGCCGCAAGCCGGTCGGCCTCCCCGCGCTGCAGCCGGCCGGGCCCCCTGCCCCAGCCCGCTCCAGTTCCGCCCGCAGCCCTGGGAGGCAGCTGAGCCACACGTTCCTGGGAGATGCCTGATGGGCTTCCTGGCCGCGGGCTCCCTCTGCTTCTCCTGAGAAGTGCTTGGTGCTGTGTGCTTCGGCTCTCTCCCCCACACCGGGAAGCAGGGGGAAAGGTTGCAGAAGCAGTTTTCCACGCTGGAAAGTACAGCTCTGCAAACGAAGTGCTGCAGGGCTTGCTCTTCAGGGAAGGGCCGTCCTGGTCTTCAGCCTCCACTGGGTGAAACAGTTACGGCCCCGGGTCCCTAGGGTGCGGTCCGGGGTTGGGCCTGCTGTGCGGCTTTGGGCTGGTCCCCCGGCCCTGGGGCAGGAGCCAGGCCGCGCCTCTCACGTGCGCGCCGCCGAGCGCGTGGGGCAGCCTCGAGGCGCTGTTTGGCACTGCGTGTCTGACCGGGTTGTCTCGTTTCCAGATGATGTGCGAGGTGATGCCCACCATCAGCGAAGCGGAAGGCCCCCCCGGAGGAAGCGGGGGCCCGGGGCCGGGCTCCCCTGCGCAGCCAGATGCAGACTCGCACTTTGAACAGTTGATGGTGTCCATGCTCGAAGAGAGGGACCGTCTTCTGGACACGCTGCGAGAGACTCAGGAGACGCTGGCGCTGACCCAGGGGAAGCTGCACGAGGTCGGCCACGAGAGAGACTCCTTGCAGCGGCAGCTCAGCACGGCGCTTCCACAGGTACGCCCCCGCCCGCGCCGCGGCCGCCCCGCTCCTCGTGGTGCCGATGTTTCCGCGCCGGCTGGCGCAGCCCTGTGGACGGCGGGGCTGGTGTTTGTCAGTTGCCTGTGGTGAAGTTGCTGAGGATTGGCCCAGACTTCAGGGTCTGTCCCGAAGACCCCCGTGCCTTCCTGGGGCAGCAGAAAGCGCTGCGGCCGCCAGGGCGTGGGTGCCGGTGTTTGTGAAGAGGACCGTGACCGGAGCTCCGGGCCTCCCCGACCGTCGTCTTAGCCGGTTCTCGCTGTGTTTCCGCGCACGGCTCCGTGCATTGCCGGTGACCTGAGGGCTCTCAGTGGACAGAGGGAGCTGACGCCACAGCCCGCCATCTGCAGAATGCCTGGGCTTTGTGAATCGGACTCGTTGCAGGGGCCTCCTTCCTGGGGACGTTCTCCTTGGCAGATGAGAGTTGTAAAGCCCGAATCGCTGGCGTGTTACATCTGGGTCAGTGTTCAGAGCCCGTTCTTACTGGACTGAGTGAGGCTTCATGCCAGGTGGAGGGAGAAGTGTCGCTAGAAAAGTGTGAGGTAAATGCCTGGAAGGTCGCGGGAGGTGCCGGAGATTTGGTGCTTCCGAGCAGTCCGGGTGCCCCTTACTTATGCCTGGTCTTCGCGTGGCAGGACCCTGCGCTGGCCGCCGTACACGTCTTGGCGTTAGTCGGGTCTCGCCCACCGCTGCCCCTGAATCCGCGCCGGGTCAGTGCCAGCGCGGGGCGCAGCAGGCCTGGTGGGGGAGCTGGTCCGCGCTTGGTGTGCGGCGCCCGCTGGCTGGGCTCCTCCACTCGCCCCACGCTGCCCGGGTTCTGCGCCTGGGCCCGGCGCACCGGTAGCTGGACGCCGTCAGAGGTTTCTGGCGCCTTCGAGGCCGCTGCCATTTGCAGTTCGAAAATCCGAGAGTGTAGCTATTTATAGCCAGTGTATCGAGCTGGAATTGGTTTGCGTGTACTTACTTGACCAAGCCGTTTCTTTCCGGTAGCGTCGTCGCGTTTCCTGTGTGCACACAGCTGTAGGAATGCTCCAGCGCGGTCTGCTTGCGCCTGAGCCGGCGGCGGCCTGTCGCCCCGGCAGCCCGGGCTGGCGCTGACGCTCGCTGACGCTTGCTGTGCTGGTGGGCGTGGAGGCGCCCGGGGCGCAGGGCCTCTCCCTCCAGCGCGCCCCCTGCCGCCGGGCCTCGGGGCCGTCTTGGCCTCTTCCGCGGCTCGTTCTGCCTGGCGTTGTCTGCCCCCACCTGTGGGTGATCTCGGCGAAGGTGTCCGCTGAGGAGCGCGGCTGCTTTTACCGTGCTGGTTTTCACAGTCTCCAGCCTGCAGGAGTTTGCTCTGTGTCACTGCCTTCTTTCGGAATAATGGTGTTTAGAATTCTTTTTCCAGAGAGTTCTCAGCGAACAGGGTGCGCTGTGGGTTGAAGCCCGCGCAGGCCTTTCCTGACCCTGCTTTTCCCTTGGGCTCGTCTGCCCCGGAGCCCCCACCCTGCGGCCGCGCGGCGCCCGCCTCGGAGGCGCTGTGGGCACTCGTCCTCGTTCCCCGCGTCTCTGTCCGAGGGTGCTCTTTCCCAGGAGCGCCGTCTTCCGTATTTCTGCTTTAAGTCAAGTCTGTGGGTGGTCAGTTGTCTCATTTTTGTTTGCCTTCATTCTTGAAGTCTGTTTCTGTGGAGCTGGAACCACAGGCTGTTGGCGACTTCCTTCAGCATTCTGGACGCCAGCCTCTTGTCTTCTGGCTTCCTCCTTTTTCCTTGACGCGTCGGCAGCCTGTTTCTCAGCCCCGTCAGAGGCGGCCTCTTTCTGCCTTGGCTGCTTCGAACATTTTCTTCTCCCCTCAGACATCAGCGAAACTGCCGAGACCAAGATGCGCTTGTCTTTGCCGAGTCAGCGGTTGGATCCTGTAGTCAGTCTTGACCATCTTCTCTGGGTGCTTTCTAGGCCTGTTCTGTCTTTCCCCTTCCTGCGCCCTCGTCTGCGGCACGCTTGGGCTCTCTAACCGTGCCCCTCAGTGCTCCTGAGCTCCTCCTGTGTTTGCTAGATTTTGTCTCGCTTCTGTCTGGGTGTTTTTTTTAGCTTTCCAGTTCACTGATTCTCTCTTCAGTCGTGTTTGATCTGGTCTGAGCCCGCAGGTTGGGTCCTTACTTTCAGTTAATGCCGTGCTCAGTTTTGATTGTTTTGATTCTCTGGTAAAGATTTTCCCTTTGTCCAGTGTATTTTGAACCGTTGACATTTGCCTCTGAGAGCTCCATTGTCTGGGTCCCCCTGAGTCTTTCTGTTTCTTTTTTGGGTCCTGTTTATCGATACGCCTGATTTTGTTTTTTTCCCTCTAATGTGAGCATTAAGTACAAAAAGCTGCACGGTTGTGGGTCATGCTGCCTCCTGTGGTGACTCCCTGACACTGCCCAGAGTTGGGCAGGTCCTCGGCATGCCCAGGGCTCAGTCTCTGCTCCTCAGGCTGAGCTGCCCCCACCTGTCCGGGGCAGCATCCGCGTGTCTCCCAGGGCCACCCTTCTGGCAGATGACGAGCCCAGGTGTGGTCCCTTGGTGCTGGGAGGTTGCTGGAGGCTCAGCCTCAGCGGTTGTTAGCGTGGGGCTGCGTTCTGCACCGCTCCGTTTCTCAGGGGTCTTTGCCCTTGAGCCCTGCCTGACTTGCTAGGCCTCCTCTCAAATGTGTGTCTTCCCAGGGCTCTGTTGTGAGCTGGTGCTTCCTGCTTGACTTTGCACCAGGAGAAGAGAGATCTGTTCTCATAGGCCAGCATGTGGCCAGGCGCCGTCTGTCCTGCGCCAGCTGGCATCCACTGAGCAGAGACCAAGGTCCAAGCCCAGGCTGCATGTGCAAGAGGGTCGCTTCTCAGACTCCCTCCTCGCCAGCTGCTTAAAGGGCAGAGCTCCGACGTCTGTCCCATGAGCCCTGGCTCAGGCCATCAGCGCTCCCTGTGCTTCTCCTGGAGCACTGCTGAGGGGCACTGCTGAGGGGCACTGCTGAGGGGCACTGCTGGCCTTGTGCTCTGGGGCTGTTCCTGTGTGGTGCCCAGGAACCGTGTGGTGTCTCACTAGAGGACTTGGGGACGCCGTTGTTCACATGTACTGTCCTTCCCTCAGGGTGGCTTTGGCGTGACCATGCATGGTGGAGCCCTGGCTGGCCTGTGCCCCGCAGCTGGCCTGTGCTGGCCCGCTTTCCTAGAGTAGCCTGCATGCCTGCAGGTGTCACAGCAGAGACGAGTAGGCAGTTGGGTAAGCTGAGGGGAGGGTGCCCTGTGAGTAGCCGGAGCTCACAGGTCTGGGGGTTGCGGTCAGCTCGCGCAGCCAGGCCAGGCAGCGCTCGGGTCACTCGTGGAAGCGTGTCGGGCTGCGCCGGAGCTGGCTGTTTGCTACAGCCCTAACGTGTGGATTAAAGTGAAGGAGGTTTGGCAGTTGTCTTACTAGGAAACGAGGGATCTGTTTAACTCAGAACCGCCTGTGTCTGGCCGTGCACACTCCATAGGTGTGAAACTCAGTGACACTAAGACCCTGGACCCCAAGGTCAGTAATCACAGGCTCTCCTAAAATGAGCTCAGCGACAGCCGGGAAGTCAGCCTGTGTCCTCGTCGCGTGGAAAGTAGGTGAGAAGGCAGCTCCCGGTGAGCCGTCTGGTCTGGTCTGGGCGGGACCTGCGGGCGGGAGCCGCGTGCCTGCGCGAGACCCGCCTGGGGGCAGGAGGGGACGCCGCGCCGCCCGGCTGCTCAGGGAAGGAAAAGCAGAGAGCCGTGCGCACGTCTGGTCAGCGAGCGTGGTGCCCGCCCCGGGAGGGCAGCGAGGCCTTGGTGCTCCCTAGCGAGCCTGCGCCGAGGCGGGGCGGGCAGCGTCCACGTACAGCTCGGCTGGGTCTGGCGAGCGCGCTGCAGTCGGCGGGGGCGGGCGTGCGGAGGACAGCGCACCCCGAAGAGGGCGCAGGCAGCGGGGTCTCCGCATTTGCCCCCTGGCTTGGCAGTTCTAGTGGACACGCAGGCGCCGCTGGTCAGGAAGGCGTGTACTGACCCAGCGCCGGCGCTGCCACAGGCGGGCACAGACGTTGGCTTCACCTCCATGGCGCGCACAGCGGGCTGCGGAAGAGGGAGAAGCGCGAGTGTCCTCTGTGTCTCCAGCGGGACCAGTGAGGGGCGTGCAGGTGCCCGCGGGTCACCGGCGCGTGTGAAGCTGGCGAGCCGGTGGGCTGCGGGGCGGGGAGACACCGCCCTAGTGTGCCCTTATGGCCGCTTCAGGATCAGCGCTGAGGTTTTAAAGGTCTGCGTCACAGAGCTCTGCCCCCGGCCCTCCCACCACTGCCCCCGATGCCGGCCGCGGCTGCCGCCTCTCCAGCCTGCCGGACCGGGGGCGCCTCTCCGAGGCTTGACCCCGGCAGTCTCCCCCTCGGAGGTGGCTTCTGCTCGCAGTCGGGGGTGGGGGTGGGGCCTGGCCTCTGAAGGCAGGACCGGGCCTGAGGGCGAGCAGCAGCGTCCTGGGGGCAGGGCGTGAGGCCAGGCCTGGGTGACCGGAGCCCCTGGGGGGCGCGCAGTCTGCCTGCCCAGGGAGACGGGCGGTGGCGGCAGGCGGCAGTCCCGGGGCGCTGTGGCCAAGGCCGCCCCAAGCCCGCGGGGCTGGTGCTTGGCCCCGCTGCGCACCAGGGTGTCCGGGCGGCCTGTGGGGTGAAAGACCCCAGGCGCGCGGGACCTTGAGTCCGAAGAGCCCCAGACCACTTGCGCTTTGAAAACACCCCATTTTCTTTTGATGCAAATTTATGTGTAAACCTGAGAGAGGGAGGGAAGTAGTTTGTACTGCCAGGCATGGCGGGGCGTCCCAGGCGTCTCTCGGCTCCGGCTTGCACAGGTCAGAGGCCTGGCCCTGCCTGCTGCTCATGGAGTGCCGCCTCAGGTGAAGCTTTCTTTCCAACTCAGCGGGTGAGTGGAATCAGGTGGTAAAGGCCACGTGGCTGTTGATCCTAGAGGCGGGACCGGCTGCCCGGGGAGGTCTTCGGTCTGCCCGTGCGGCCGCCAGCCCGCTGCACCCTGCTTGTGTCCAGCAGGTTGGCCTGGTGGGTTCCCATCAGTCAGCGAACCTGCCCTCCCCATCTGGAGCTTCTGCCCAGAAATGATAAAGATTGGCGTTTGTGAGTGTCTTGTGAAACCAAAGCTCCTGAACTGATTTTATCGCTTGAACGGCATTTTCCCTCTCCTCCGCGGACGCCTGGAAAATGTCAGTGCGAGTAAAAGGCCGCCTTGCCCAGTCTGCTCTGTCCAGGGGGCACCCAGTGACCGTCACTTCGCTCAGCCCAGACGGCTGCAGACCGCGTGGTGAATGGCAACAGACCCAATGTCACTGTCGCGGCATAGTTGACTATTTGACTCGGACTATTTCTTTTCTTTTCTTTTTTTTTTAAGATTTTATTTATTTATTCACATAGAACTGGGGTACAGGCCAGAGATGCGGAGGGTGAGAGGATTCCCCAGAGGCAGAGTGGGGAGCAGAACAGGCCGACTGACAAAGTCCACTGCTGAGGGGAGCAGCGGGCGGTCAGGAGAGGTCTGCCGCGCCATGGGGTCACCGCGGGGCAGGCGGGGATCGAACTCATATGCGGAAGTGGCTTAAGCTTCTCAGTGCTGCGCTCTGACCCGCTGCGCCCCCAGGGAGGGCCCGATTCGGACTATTTCTAAGAGTCTTTTTAGAAAAGACTTATTTATGCACATGCATCTGGGGTACAGGCCAGAGGTGTGGGGGTGGGAGGATCCCCAGAGCCGAGTGGGGAGCAGGACAGGTGGATCCACTGAAGCACACTGCTGAGGGGAGCGGGGAGACAGGAGGGGTCTGCTGCGCCCTGGGGTCACCTCCGGGGCGGGGATCGAACTTGTTCTGAAGTGGCTGCGGGGCTGCGCTTTCACCCCTGCGCCCCCAGGGGGCCTCTAAGACATTTACTTTCTATAGCGTAGGGCACACTTGGGTGCTGCCCGCGGGAGAGGAGGTCTCCGCTGCGTGCTGGGGTCCCCGGCTGGCGGCCTGGCCTGTGGGGCACACAGACGGCTCACAAGCTGGGCCCCAACTCTGGAATTTCCTGTCAGTGTTTATCCAAACTCCTCAGTTTGAGTTCGCTTTGCTACTTTTTCAGTTGTCGAATTCGTTTGAGCGAAGAGGAGGCTTTTCTGTAAGGAGCGAGGGGCCCCGTTCCACAGCTGTCTCCTCCCGCCACCGCCCAGGCTCCTGTCTTGGGCCCGGTTGGCTGCTGCAGGGTTTACTGTGAGACACGCGTCTTGAGGCTTTCTCAGAGGTGAATGGAGACACGTGGGGCTCTTGGGAGCCTTGGGGGAGCCCTGTGAGACGGGCGTGGACTTACTCCTGGTGGCCAGAGTTGGGGCGGGCGTGCCTGCGGGGGTGGCGAGGGGCGAGGCTTCCGCCCCATGAGCGTGCAGTCCGTTCTCCCCGCACGCGGCCCGTGGCTGTGCCCCAGCCCTGCCCCAGTCCACCCCTTCTCTCTGGGGCCACGGCAGTCCCCACCGCGCGCCTCACCCGCCTCTGCTGGCGGACGTCAGGTCCGCTTCTGCGTGAGGTCGCGGCAGCGGCCGGCACTGTCCGTTGCCGCTGGGCATCCGCGCCACTTGGCCCGGCCCCTTCCTAGCTGCGGAGGCCTGGTCGTCCCGGCTGGTGGCCTGCGCTTGTCCTGGCAGAGCAGCAACTCCACCCTGCTGCCTGGTCCACCTGCCTGGTCTTCAGACCCCCGGCCCTGCCTGCGGCCCCGGCCCCATCCTCGCTGCCTGCGCCGGACCTGGGCCGGGGCTGAGGGCGGGCTCCGTCCTCTGGGGGCCCTCCCGCCCGAGCTCCCCTTCCTGCCTCGGGGGCGCCCAGCCCTCCGGGGAGGCCTTGCTCCGGCCCGAGGGGTCTGTCAGCAGGTCCTGGGGAAGCCTGACTGGGACCTGCCCGGTGCTCTCGCCGCCCTGTGGCAGGGAGTGGCCCAGCCACGCGTGTCCACAACCGCTGGGCTCGGCTGGGGCCCCGCAGGTACTGCGTCCTCCTGCTTTGTCTGGACAGCGCTTCCTTCGGCTCCATCTCACCGGCACCGGTCTCACTTCAGACCCCCGTGTCTCCCGGCTGCTGGCTAGGGTCTTGCTCCAAGGCCCCAGAGCCAGCTCTGTTTCTCGTCGCGAGCCGTCCCGTGCTCAGCCCTGCCCGGAACGGAAGGCTCGCCCACTCCCGGGTCCCGGCCTGTGTGTGGCGGGCCTGGCTCTGCCTTCTGCCTGGGCCTGCGCGCTGCCTCGGCGCTGGTGCCGAGGCGCTCGCCCACTGTCCCTGGCCCTGCTTGGAATCCGGCGTGGGGCCCGGCTGCTGGTCGAGGCTGGCCTGTGCCTGTCCAGTCGGCGCAGTCCTGGTGGCCTCCTGCTCAGAATGGGCACGAGCCCGTGTTCTGCCCTGCCCTGCTGTGCACAGAGTGTAGCTACTTAAGGACAGGAGCCTCCAAGACAGGGCCAGGACAGCAGCCCAGCGTGGCAGGACGTGTGGCCTCCCCGGGTCAGGGTGCATTCGGGACTGGTGTGCTCGGTGGAATCACAGCTCAGTTTCGACTTGCCTGAGAACCTGGAGCCAGGCGAGCTTTCCCACCCAGGGCAGAACCCCTGGAAGCGGCGGGCCTGGGCACAAAGCCTCTCTGCCTGCAGTCCCCTAACAGGCCGCAGGTGGCCACGGCAGGGGCTCTAAGTGACCGCACAGCCTAATTCTGGCCCCAAGGGCAGGAACCACAGGGCACCAGGCAGGAGGGGTGCGCGGGCCCCAGGCCCCCATACCAGGCCAAGCTTGCTGGGGTTGACCCCTTTCGGAACCGTGCTCTCCCCCGCCAGAAGCCCAGGGTAAGTACATTTACGACACTTAAAAAGACGAGCGACCCCTGAAAACAACGGGACGGGCAGGAGGACACGGCAAAGGCCACCTGGGCACGGAGCACGTGGCCGAGACTTAGCCGGGGCGGGTCCCGGGAGCCTGCTCCCTCAGACCAGGGCAGACGCCCGTGCGCACAGCCTGGTGGCGCTGCGGCTCCGGGCCAAGCCCACACCCCCCCAGGCCCGATCCAGGCGGCTGCGGCCCGCTCCCTCACGGCCCCACCACACCGAGGCGCCGGCCCCGGCTGGCGAGGGGCGTCGGCCGTCGCAAGCTGCTGCCGAGGGCAGACGCGTCAGGGGTCGCACCTGCCTGACGCTGGCGTGTGGAGGCAGTCCCGAGTGAGCTGGGTGGGCGCCGGGCGAGGCCGCTGCGGCCCTCCTCGCTCCCCCGGGAGGCTGCTGTCAAGGCGCACTCTGGGGCAGGAAGGCGCTTCAGCGGCGCAGGCGCTCGGGCGGCCCCGGCACGCGGCCTCTCCCCTGGCGGTCTGCCTGAGGGCCGTGCTCTGCCGTGCTCCGTGCTCTGGGCAGCCTTGTCTGACACAGCGTGTGTGGCGTGTGCACGCGTGTTTAAACTGTGGCGGATTATACAGCGTGGACGTGGCCACCTGGCCCTTCCTCCGCGGCTGGCTGGTTCAGTGCCGTCTGCCCAGGCAGCTGTGGGCAGGCCACAGCCCCATGGGTGGCAGGTACAGGCAGGGTAAACGTCACCCACGAGGTCACCCTTGGAGGGGGATGCCTCGCTGCCCGCCTCTCGAGCCCCAGCGGCCAGGTGCTCGGGCTTCCTACCCGAAGTGGTACCTGGGCGGGGTGCCGTGAGTGGGGTGCGGGCGGGGCTCCTCAGGCTGTCCTGCTGGACCGTGACCGCCCACAGTCGTGGGCTCCGCAAGAAATACTAGC